ACGTGGAGGGGGGGGGCCTGGCGTCTGAAATTTTACACTAGGGCCGTGGCTGTTTCTCTCTTTAGATTTTTTTTTTTGTTTTGGTAATACTATATGTTCTATTTTGATGGGAGAGGCCTGGGGCGTCGATGAAATTGTATACTGGAGCCGTTGGCCATTTTGATTGGTGTTTCTTTCAGCGAATGAAAACGGAGAGAGACATGAATAAAAGAGGGTTTCTTGGCCAAAAGGCGGATTTGAATCGGAGTCGCTCAGTGAGAGGACAGTTTTCAGACGGGAGACCAGACCTTTGCCGGCACTTTCGAGAAAAGGTAAGCCATTTGTCATTATGACTTAGCGCCCCCCCCCCCTTTTTTTTTGTGTGTAGTAACCAACCTAGATTTCGCATGGGCCCTAAAGGGCTATAAAGTAACTTCAGGTCACCTCTATCTAAATTTTTACTATGTAAATAGCATATCTCGTCAGTATAGACATGTTCCCAAATTTTAATTTATTTAAATAAATATCTAGAGAAATTTTCTTGTTTCCCCTCATACATATTTCATTCCTTTTGCTTTATGGTACTACCCCCCACACCTTAATTTCACAAAGTGTACAAATTATAGAACAACCGACTCTGTTGAAATAGAGTTGTGTACTATATCTTTGCTGTGATATATTGACACAGCAACAGTTGCAAAATTACGACTTTATTAGGGCTACTTTGAGGGTAATTATCTGTCAGGTTTTAGTGATGTTTGTACTTTTATGTGTTTCAGTGCGTTATTCCATCATATTTACCATTATACCATATTTTCTGATTCCTCGGGCTATTGTTACGCTGTTAGGAGGGTACGGCATGATGCAAACAGATTTGTATGTTTGACTATTGTTTGTGTTATTTGGGCTATAAAAATGCCTTAATATGAATCTATTTACAGTTGATCTGTAGAAATTATAGAGATCTGTTGCTATAATTTTCCTCTATGAAATAGCTCCCAGCGTCTTCAGTGGGTTGCTAAACCTCCAGAAGGAGTCTTTTATAGATTGCACAATTTAATAACGATTTCATGGGTTGTCTGATGAAATTGTATACTAGTGTCGTGGTTGTTTCCATCTTTAGACCTTTGTTCTGACAATATTATATGCTCGATCCCTGCTTTAACTCAAACTCTTAATCAATTACAGAGTTTCCCCCCTTTTTTTTTCTTTATTTATCCTGTTTGCACAAATTGCATTACATGTGATGATGTAAAGACATATGTCGATAGTGCATCATTGACAGCTGTGCTTCTATTATACAACATTAAGGTCTTGCTGCGGGTTATATACATCGGGTTGTTGGCCTAAATTGCTATATATATATATATACTTAAGTAAGGAAACTTTAATAAGTCACATCGTGTATCCTCCCTTTTCATCTATCCAAACCGGGAACGCAACAGATGTGAAGGTATTTATTGATGACGTCACCACGACCAGTCGACAATTATTAACAAATTAACCAAACTATCTACAGCTAGGGAATATTGAACAAGCAAGCAAAGAAATATTTTAAAGATGATTTTACAAATACAGAGTAATATATATTTTTATAATCTTTTGAAAATTTTCATTGAATAATGTTAAATTAAATAATAAATTATTTCTTCGCCACAATATTATACAACAAATATTTTCACAGTTATATATATAATTTATAAAATCAATCCTATATTATATTTTTAAAAAGGCATATATTGGATTGAATAAAATATTTATTTGCCAATATTTCGGTTGGCTGAACGCCAATCTTTATCAAGGCATTACATTTTTGTATAAACAAACTCAGCGCCGCATAGTGTTATTATATCGCAGAGTTGAAATAATTTTTTAAAATACAAAGGTGGTGGGAAGGGGGGAAATTTGTACATGAAAAAATTACTATAAAAATTACAATCAGAATAAGTTAAATATCTTAAAATATTAAAGGAGAAAAAATTATTAGGTCTATCCTATATTTAAAAATATTTTTAATTAAGTACATAATATATAATCATCAATAATTCATTAATAGATAGATGTAAAAATGTATGTATCTATTAAAAGATTTAAAAATACATAAATAAAAAATGATTTAAACAAAAAACTAAGACATTTTTTAAAAATCTTAACTATAAAATGTTTATTTTAAAAATTCATTTCAAATTTTTATGGAGATCGATTTATCTATGAGTGAAAAAAAAATATATTTCATAAAAATGCATTAAAAATAGGCAAATAAATCCTTTATCTAATCCAATCTATTCCTTTTTTTTTTAAATCTAATGATTTAAATATGGATTGCTCTATTTTCAGAACAATATGATATTGTTTAGACTTATATAATACTAATTGCGTTAAAATTGTTGTGTGTGAGAAATCTATTTTTAATTAATTTATAAAAATGCTTATTTTTTTAATCAATACATTTATTTTTCCAATATATCGTTTGGCTACAAGCCAATTTCGGTTTCCCCGTAGAATCTTGGCACGTAGCCAAACGAAATATTGGAAAAAATAAGTGAATGTATAGATCCAAAATAAGCATTTTTCTCTATATAGATTTAATTTATCAATAACGGATACTGGTATAATTATTTTCTTCTATTATTAAATTAATTCCCTTTTTTAATTAAATATTTCAAAAAACTTCTTTATTAGATAAATATTTTATTTATAGAAATACAATTTATATAAAGCAATAACGCTCCATCTATATACAGCAAAAGAAAACATTAAGACGCGAATGTTTCTTTCACATATTAATCAAATTCCTACTGTCCTTACTGCGATTAAAAAATATTGTGAGGGCTTGGCTCATTAGTGGTGAACCCTCCTAGTGGTTTTGCTTTAATACCATTTCTGAGATTCCATCCTTCAGTGTAGTATATATAAGCAGAATGATACAATACAGTATAAGAGCTCTTCCAGCGGCTGGTCGTAAACTCAGTAATAACTTGTGGAAGTTCCCCGGGAGGAAATTTCCATTTCTGATGTAATCACGACGAACTGGACCTCGCCTTGCTTGGGTTGTGGCTAACTCTATTGTAAATTTATTATCTTATTTGATTACATGATCGCGTCAAGCTGGTATCTTGAATTTTATCTACATTTTGGGGTTGTTACATTATCAATAATTATGGTACATATGAAAATCTAATGTATATTGACATATATTACTACATATAGATATATTGTTTCCAATTGTTTTACGATTAGAAACGCAAATAAATGTTTTGATATAAAGAACGCGATATTAATAACAAATAAATTTTAAGTTTAAAAGTCCACTGTTTTTCGCATAATTGAAGTTCGGATTTTTTTTTTTTTGAAATATCATGCGATGGATATTGGTCTTTAATCACCGTTAGGAGGAGATTAATTGAATCGCCGAATGCCGTGGTCCATTTGGACGAGGAAAGTGAAGACCAGAACGTGGCTGATTCCACACTAGCCTGTTCAGTGATTCGCTAACCATGACTTATGCATAAAGGAACGTGTGGCTATTGGACATGCGACAGACCAGGAGGCTGTTGTTGGGTGCTGCGCTGCCTGAGGTATAGGAGCTCTATCTATTATTTATTCCTTTGGTGAATCTGTATAAGACTGGTGGTCTTAATAAAGCTTTGTGTGTGTGTGTTTGCGTGGATATTGGTCTTTAAGAGGTGATGATTACATGTGTGATATATTTATATATATTTTTAACAAAACCAAGAATATCTATCTCGAATAGTGGGTTGAGAACCTGGCTTTGACTTTTAGCATCCCTGTACCACTCTAATGACTATGGCTAAGCAATGAGATCATAATGCCCAAGGTACCATGGCCTGACCAGATGCTGCGATAAGGACGTAAAATACGATCAGATCTCATGTTGGAATTTGAATAGGTTCTCTGACAAGATGTATAAGCACATTCTCAGTCATGACCGAAAGAGAGGGCATAGTTTGTTACTTACCCAAAAATCTCAGTACTCATCATAGAAATAATTGAGACGTGAATAATTAAAATTAAAGAATAATTGCCTCAAACAGAAGTCCATAAAATATCTTTACACACTAAGCTTCTCTGTAAAGTTTCAATTATAGACATTTACTTACGAACAATGGTATACAATTATAAAATTATGAAACATCAAACATCGAAAAATACTAAAAATACCAGAATTCTCACAGTGTAGTACTGTACAAAAGATAACGAGTAATTTGCATAGTCCAGCGTTGAATACTAGCTATGATAATAATCTGCATTCAGCATTTAGCATATCTCACTCAATTCCAGATGGAATTTTTGACGCTAGATGGAATTAGGTCTCTGGAGAATGAGTCACGTCATATGTATATATATATGTAGTACTCTGCAAAGGATAACGAGTAATTTGCATAGTTTAGCGTTGAATACTAGCTATGATAATAATCTACATTCAGCATTTAGCATATCTGACTCAATTACAGATGAAATTTTTGACGCTAGATGGAATTAGGTCTCTGGAGAAGGAGTCACGTCATATGAATATATATATGTGTAATACTCTGCAAAGGATAACGAGTAATTTGCATAGTTTAGCGTTGAATACTAGCTATAATAATAATCTACAGCCAGCATTTAGCATATCTGACTTAATTCCAGATGTAATTTTTGACGCTAGATAGAATTAGGTCTCTGGAAAGAGTCACGTCATATGTAGTACTCTGCAAAGGATAACGAGTAATTTGCATAGTTTAGCGTTGAATACTAGCTATGATAATAATCTACATTCAGCATTTAGCATATCTGACTTAATTACAGATGGAAATTTTGACGCTAGGTGGAATTAGGTCTCTGAAGAATGAGTCACGTCATATATATATAGTTTCGATTTCCGAATATGATAGCAATGATGATAACAATGATGATAAATACTATATTACATATATATTCATCCCTGCCTTTACAATATAAAAAAATCAATAATCAATCGACGCACAGGTCTCTTTTTACTATATTTTTTTTTATTTCTCAAGCTTCCAGGCCAATATGCTCTTCAACTGGATTGACACTTATATGTGTCCTGATGAAGGGCATATTGGCGCGAATGCTTGTGAAATAAAAGAGACATTGTTCTGATTGTTTTATTGATTGTGTTTTATGTATACTATATATGTGTTTAACTGTATGTTACATTTATATGACCACTAATTATGATAAATATCATGGGAAAAATAAATTTTGGCCGATTATTTCCTCGGCAGCTTGATCTAGCGGTCGTTCCATCTTGTGCCAGGGTAGGATCAATACCGTGGCGCCACCATTGCAGCTAACACGCATGCGCTGTCGATCTAGTGTTATACATGTTAGTTGAATCGCCAGTTATTAAATTTATATCGAGGATCTGCTATTGGCTTTGATACGTTGGGTAAAGTCGAAAATGTTTATTATTTCAGACATTGGGATTAGAATGAAAGTCATTTTAATCCTCATTTTAAAGAATTTTAAAATTAACAGTGTTTCTATCATGTTAAAATATTACAGTTCAAGCTCTTGATTGAAGATTTTATTCATCTCTTAATTTATTATTAATATATATTACGTGACACTGAATTTGTAACATCAAGAATTAGTGGTAAAAATGTGAAAATCTGTATAAAGAGAGTACCAGTAACGATCAATAAATGATCTTTATTAGAACAGAATACACCTATACACTGAGTGACATAGCTGTCCACTCAATATTGCCACAGTAATGAAGGTGACGTTTGGGTAGAATAAAAAAATAATTTATTAGATGAATTTAAATAGTTAAATAGTTTGAGGGAGAAAAAGAAATAGAGATAAACTAAGTTAAATGGATAAAATAATGATAAATTAAGGAAGTAATGTCAAAGACTCAAACGGCTGGCGATCGGCTATCCCCTTCAAGATGGCGGCTATTGTTTACAAACTTCCCGCCTAGCGCGCTCACCATCTATCGGAGCTTAAGTACATAACACTTGCCGAGCTGACAGCGCGCGCCACCTATCGGGGCTTAGGTACTTAACATTCGCCAAGCTGCCGATGTATTATTTACAATTACACGCTATGTACATTTTTGGTTATGACAATATGTTGTGGGATCACCGTGGGCGGATATGCAGGTAACAACATGTCTTGGTACTGACTCAATGGTGTCCTGAGGGATGGCTGTCCTGTCAACCATCAGCCACAGTTCATCTTCTGAACGCGGCTGTGACAGCGCAAACAAATGACGTCCAATTAGGTCCCAGACGTGTTCTATAGGTGAGAGATCAGGAGATACTGGTGGCCATGGAAGCACCGAGGTTTCATACAGGACATGTTGGCTGATGTGGGCTGTGTGAGGTCGGGCGTTATCCTGCTGGAAAATGGCATTTGGTATCCCCTGAAGGAAGGGTAGCGTCACCGTCCGCAGTACCTCATCCACGTATCGTTGGGCCGTCATAATGTTCTCAATATGAATTAGAGGTGATCTGCTATCATAGGCGATGGCTTCCCAAACCATAATGCCGCATTGTCGTGGAGTGCGGCGTATTAGATTCAACAGTATTGGACCTGTCACCAAGATAGCGTCAAACTCTTACTCGATGACCATCGTTAGTAAACAGAAGTGAGATCCATCTGAGAACACTACCCTGTGCCATTCCGCTGTCCATGTGACTCTATTCCGACAAAATTGAAAACGGGGGTGTCTGTGCCATTGGATCAATGGTAGTCTTCTTAACGGGCGCCATGAGTGTAGGCCGCCGGCGACCAATCTGAATATGCTGGTTCTGGTTTATATGATACACTCTTGTGTCCTACACATCCTGCAAAATGTCGACAGGAGTAAACAATGTGGCCGCTAACGACATCCGGCGGATGCGTCGGTCTATTCAAGCTTACGTCACTCTGGCTGCAATAGCACCCTTCATCAATCGGGCCGTATTTTCTTGTTCTAACCATCTTCGCCATAGCTGGTGCACTGTCGAGGTGTCTGTCCGCAGAGATTTGACGTATGAACCAACTGGCCCTTCTGAGTCCAATCATCTCTCGTGAAATCGTCTATCTGCGGCCTACCATTCTCTGATTTTAAGCATTTTCTCCGACTCAAAAAAAAAAAAAAAAAAAGGAAAATTTTAAATTCTCTCCCTGTCAACATAGAGATCCGAATATTGGAAAAATTTTCAAGTTCCTTCTCTTATATCTCAATCAACATGTGCGGGACCATGCATGAGCCAACTTTACCTTGATATTTGCATATTTTTTTCAAAAAAATTTGGTGATGTAAATTGAGAGTTACGCAGTGTATATTACCTTTGTTCTACTGTACTGGACATCCATGAGGAGGCTCGTGAGGCGATCTTTATTGCTGCTTCTCGAATGATGGTGAGTCTCTTTAGAGGGTACAGGTCTTGTTCTCTACAAGTGCAATTATTCTGTCAAAGAGGGAGGGTTTGCAGCGTCTTTGCTTGCTCAGCAGTAAGGGTCCCAAGATAGCCTTCATTTGTTTACGGGTTATGATTTTCATCACTTTCTTCCTTTCTGGTCCGTCAATTTCAACTACCCTGATTTTTTTCTGATGATTTAGAAGAAACAGGATCATAAGAGGGCATTTATTTTTCCTGGCTATCATGAGAACCCTGGTTGGTGCATTTAGTTTTGGAGACGGTGTTATAGCGCGAAGAAACGTGAACTAAATGTTTCAGGTTTTGATATTGCTTTTTAATTCTTTTTTGGACGGGAGGGCGAAGAAGGACGCCGTTTATGTAATCCCAGTACTGGGTAATGGCGACCATTTTGCAGCAAGACCTTAAGGCTTCGCGACATCCTCGTCTCTGACAACGAATGTCAAGTTATCGATGGTAATTCTCTTCGGGCTTTTTCTTATATGGATACGTTTACAGCTGAGTATTGCCGATGGTGAGGCCCTCCTAGCCCAGTCGCTCTGCTTTTATATATTTTATAACACGACCATTTCTTGGCCAAAAAGTTTCATTAGCTCGGAAACCGAGCCCTTTCCCAGCAGCGCTTCCTTGGCATAGACTAATAGTCCGAAGTCCACACAGTGCTCTATGAAGAAGTACTGGTCGAAAGTGTCACGTACAAAGTAATTCATCCGTGGGTATTCAATCTATACATTTTGTGAAGGCAATAAATTTGATAGGTCCTTATAGACATGATTGGCTACCTTAAGATAGCCATATTTACTCACGCTGTTTACCTGCGGGTGGTTGAATTTCTTCACTTTGACATTCAGAGCACTGTAAAACGCCATAATTAAGAAGTTAGTTCGTCACCATGATCCAGTCTTCTGTAGATGTAGCGGTCCATCTGCAGTCAATCCTTCCGTCTACCTTCTGCTATACGCTCTTTTATGTAGTGGCATCGCTACATATATAACGTAACATTGTGCAAAGAATTTCCTTTCACAAGACTCTTCGATATCTACAGCCGTACCAATAACCAAGGTGTACTATCAACTGTGAGTCCCAATAAGTTTAAATTATCTATTACATATATGTAATGAGTTGAGTTACTGTGACTCTTGTAGAATCTTGTCGACTAAAACTGTGGTGAGGTTTCCAGTCTATTTAAACTATGGTGTGAGTCCCTGTCAACTCTCGCTATACTGTGTTGACCGAGAGGGACAGTCAGGATGGGGAGTTTTCCAGTACCTCTCTGCACCTTGGAAGACCTTTTACAGTTCTCACAAAGTACAGGCAGTCGTGGTCGAGGCAGAGTGGAAAGCTTGGGAATGTCCATACACAAAAAACGAAGACACAGTTGCACTAGGAAAGTCCGTGAACAGATAAAAGTTGAGCTAGGAGCAGTGATGGAGAGATAGAAGAGTTCTTACTGACTACATGGTGGATGAGGAGGACCTTGGTGACAACCGACGTGGGCTTCCCCTGATGGTGAACTAACTGTCAAGTGACTGTATTTTTGGCTAAAGACGGGGGGGGGGGGGCTTTTATATATTTTCCGAGAAAGGGAGTGTTGCATTTCACCAGATGTGAAGAGTGTGGATCGTCTGGTGAAACTGTACACTGGCGCCGTGGCAGTTTCCATTTTTAGACCTTGTTGTGGGAATTCTAAATCTATCTCGATTTTAGACGTTTTGACCTTTTGCGTTAGCTCAACTCTTAATCTATTACAGAGTTTTATTTATTCATCCTCAGTTTGTACAAAGTACATTACATAGGGTGATGCAAAGACACATGTCAATCATGCGTATAATTATTTATAGATGTGTTTCTATATACAACATGACAATCTTGTTAAAAGTATTATACAATATAGGGTTGTTGGTTTAAATTACCATATATATGTTGTAACCCGACGTCTGAATAAACTGGCAGACGTAGTCGTCGGGCGAAAGTGATAAGGTTTTTCCCGCACGTGGACAGCAAGAAGCAGAGGCGGGGCTAGATTTTAGCACCGAGCATGTCGGAGACAGCCCACGGAACAGAGGTGGAGGCCATGACACAAACCTGGGTTCCTAACACAGAGTCAAGGAGCGAGAGCCAGAAGCAGCCTGCGTAGATGAACACACACTACCACACTCTGAGCTGAAACTGCTGTGTTGACCCCGGGCGGGGTCGCCTATAAAACCCCGGAAGGGGGCCCCATCCTGGGCGTCGGCTTTGGCTCTGCCTCGTAAATGTCTCCAGACCAACTGTTTTGCTGGTTTTATTTTGACGTCATCGTTTTGAGTTTGAATACAAATAAGCACGATACAGGTTATATTAATAAAGATATAACATATCATTCATAATATGGGGGTGGTAGCAATTAGGAGCAGTGTACATTTTAATAGGAGGGTATGATCTTAAACTAATGACTCTAACTTAACTAATTAGAAGATATGTGAACTATACTAACACAGTGTTATTATTTTACAGTTTAAGATATACTACATATATATATATATATCTTATAAATAAAGATGATAAGAGATTGTTTTATTTGAGCTAAAGTAATATATAAGAACATAATTTAATTGAAGTACTGCCTGGCTTAAGGCGAATAGAACAAGGAAAACAAAAGACTATTTACATAATGTACAAAAGTTTTGGGCCGACTAACGGGAAGAACAACAACGAGTTT